TATATATATATATCATTATATACTAATATTTATTAACTATATTATAAGAACGGAAATTAACTTCCAAAGCTAAAGTGAAAGACAAAAATAACCCTATAAAATTAAGTGACCATAATACCCTTCCATCAATCTGTATCACTTTGCTTCTTTTATTATATTTCCTCCGTCCTTATTTACTTGTCAAATATTTCCTAATTTGATGTTTATTTTTATTTGTCATTTTTGATCAATCAAGAAAGAACAATATATTTTTTCCTGTTATATCCTCAATTAATTTACATTGAGTTAATATCTTTGAAAAATGTATAGTAGTAAATATATTTAAGATCCTATCAATTAATTGAGGTAAAATGGAAAATTACTATACCAATTAATATTTTCTTAATAGATATTTCAAATTAAAATTTGACAAGTAAAATGAAACTGAGGGAGTAAGAAATTTGAAGAGTTAGCATTGAATAATTAAATGTAGACTAATAATTAATTAAATTAATAAATGCATGGAAGCTCAAAAATCCATAGGAGAGTACTATATAAATAATGTTCTAATTTTACTTTGGCAAGCATGTGATAAAGTTTTTTTTTTCTTCAAAAAAGGCATGATAAAAATTGACTCCCTTCATAGTCTTTGGCAGCAAAATTGATGATAATATTTGTGTATTTGGAGGGTTTTTCAAATAATATATTGCTTGCAAATTACGCACACAACTGGTAAATATTTTCTTATTCTTTATAACAAATTCTTTTAGTTATTCTATTTCAACATTTGATATTCCTTATTAATGATGAAAATATAGCTAATCCTGATTAAGGAAATTGATTTAATGGTTAACAGTCTTTAATGAGCTTTGCTAATTAGTATGATTGAATTATAAGAAATCCAAAAGAATACTTTAATAAGAAAATGATTTTTGAGTTTTATTTTTGTCATAATATAACAACTAACATAAATTGTAGAAGTCTAAAAGACATGGAAAATGGCACAAATATAGAAAAAGAATAAATACCAATCATCCATTTAGGTAAAGAGTATTTGTGTATATATAGATTGTTATTTATCTTTTTCCTGTTTTTATATCATTTTTTATCATATATCTTTTATAATATGCTATTATATGTTTATTTATTTTGAATTATTTTTTGTTGTTGTAAAATCATTACTTGAATTTACACATCTCCTTAATAATGAACTTTTCTTTTTGAATCATGACATTTTTTACAAAAGAAATAAAAATATTAGTATTAAAAATTAAATAATAATTTAATTTGTGTATGATATTATCTCCTATCAAATTTAAAAATATTTGTCTTATATATGTATATTGCCCCAAAACATAATAAACAGAAAGAAAAAGAATTTAAAAAGAAGCAATGATTCATTAAAACGCGTCCCATAGTAGACATTTAGCCATACTAAAAAGTTATACTATTTGAAAAAGAAAGTTTGTACTATTTGAAAAAATAATATATCTGAAAGTTGAAATTATATTTAGACATGTTTTTTGTTTTGATATTAAAATTATTTTTCAAACATACAACTCAATAACAACAATTTATGCAAATGTAATTTTATGAGAGGAGATGTGGATGCAATCTAATTCTATGTTGTGAAGATAAAAATATTGTTACAAATAAATTATCGATTCAAGTAAAACATACCAAAATCAATCAGAAAATAAAATACTTGAAGAGACCATGTAACAAATATTTATAAAAACAATAGCAACTAGAAACAATATTGATAAATTAAGATACTAAAAACAACAATAGTAAAATGAAAGAATATGATAATACTAGAGTTACTGATACCAAACACTAAAGGGATTTTTTGTTGGGTTCTAAAGGGTGAATAGAGCGTCATGCGGAAGCTTATAATTACAAATAATATGATTGATAAATTAGATGATAAAAACTTATACTTAAAACTAATATTATATATTATATGAAAACTAATATAAATAAAAAATATTTAAAATATTGAGAGATTAAATCTCCTCATAAACAAAAGTCTCTAAATGACTACATTGTGAATTTTATTGTGTTATGCTATGCGAATAGGAATCTTCAATTTATAATTTTCCAAACTATTCCTCTAAGGAAATAATAAACCAAATATGGAAGAAAATTATATTTTCCTTTCAGAAAAATTCAAACTTTTCTTTAAAGAAAAAAATAAACTTCAAACAAGGAAAGAAAATCAGGGAAAAACCCTAACATTTTTGTCATCTGTTCTAGTTTTGGTAGACAAAATTATTTGATATCTATTATTGATGGCAAGTGATAGATATCTCATGAAATTAATTAAGGTGCGTAAAAGTTTATTCGAACCTCCTTTAACTTTCTATCCTAAGAACATGAAATTCATCTTCAAGAATATTTAATATTTTAAAATATTTTTTTGGAAAAAAGAAAAAGAGAAAACATGATGTCCCCTGTAGTGTTAGATGACTTAACTGATTGGTTGTCTTACGTAAGTCTCAATACATCAGCAAACATCCAAACAAATCGAAAAATTTTACTCTGTAAGAGGTATACATATTACATGGCAGACAATATCCTCTCAGGTTTTGCCAAGTGGAGTTTGGGTCCCACTTATAGAAAATGTGCTAAATCTCCATTTCTTTCTTTTTCTCCTATTTTTTTTTTTTTAACCCTCCCTAGGAGCTCCTATTCCGTATCTTCTTCTTCTCCTTTTTTTTTTATTTCCGTTTCTTCATAAAATTTTATTATTTTTCTTATTAAATATATTTATTCATCAAACTTCAAAACTTGATTGCTTTGGTCGTGATTTCGTTTGGATCATTTTTTATCAAACGAAAATAAATTTAATTAATTTGATTTTTCAAATGTTATAATCAAGTCAAATTAATTAAGTCAATTTTTCATCACTTTAATTTTTTTTAATTTTTGTTGCTATTTGATTTTTGTGGACTTCTCAAAAATATACAATAAAATAAAATTTTTGTAAGGTATATATAGGATCCTTCAACAATAAATAAATTATGCATTATCTAAGAATTTAATCATTTCTACGAAATATGATAAATTATTTCCAACGATTTTACTATTTTCTTACAAATATTAAAGATTTAACGACGATATATTAGGATGTCTTGTTAATATTTGATTTAAATAAAAATAATCAATTAAATCACGAGTTATTTTAAACATGAAAAAGTACTCTTGGCATTATCAAAATAAAAATAAAAATTAAACTATAAAGTAAATGCAAAGAATTTGATTATTATAAAGAGAAACACATGAATACTAACAAAGAGAACAAAAAAAATATTTCTAATAATTTTTTAAATTTTAAAGAAGGATATATATATATATAAAATCATTACGGACCATTTATTAATAAAATAGTAGGATGAAAAAATTTATCCTAAAAAATCAATGTTTGATCTTTTATAAACGAACAGAAAAATTAATTTATTATTCTAAAATTAAAACACAAGATTTTATGATTTTTAATTTTTAATTTCACTATCTTCAATTTCTTTAATCTTATTGAAAACTATTTTTTTCTCATCACATTCACTTTAAGTTTTCCTTAAATAAATGATAAAAAGATAAAATAACAAAACATTGTGGTCAAATCTTTAAAAAACGTACAAACTACAAAGGAGGAAATTTTTTTGTAGAACAGAGTTTAAAATGAATGAGAAAAGTAAGAAGATGAAGAAAATGAAATGGATAAAGTATGGATCCCATATTGTACATTTGGCGGTCAAAGAAATCCTCATACAACTGACAAAAGGTGAGCCTCTCACAAAATAAATTTTCTCAATTGAATCATTGTACGAAAAAAAAGCCAAGAATTATTGTACCCTGTTCAATTTTATACTTATAAAAAACTTTGAAAGCAAAAGCAACCAATTAGAATGATAAAGAAATATTCTTTACTTAGTTCACTAGGGATTGACTCAACACTCCCCCCTCCCCTCAAGTCTTCGTGTGTTGTGTAAATAAATTTGGTTGTCCTTCAGTTTCTGGCACTACTACTGGGTAGTTTTATTTTTGCATAGTAAGTCTCTTTTTCAAAGACCCATGTGAAATTTTGCTTTGATTCAGTTTATTTTGTGTTGTTTATGTGTTTGGGGCTGTTGGGTAACTGTTTTCTTGGTTTGTGTGTTTTGTTGTTGTTTAAAGTTTGAATCTTTTTCATGGTTTGTGAGTCTGACTGAATATATATATGATCATGGGTGGTGAAATTTCTGTAAGATTCTTGATGGAAAGAATGTTTTAGCTAATGTTTCTAGTATGCTGTTTGTTGATCATTGGCTAAGAAGAAGCAGAAGGAATAGTTAGCTTTAAAGAAGAAAAAAGAAGAGACTTTGTCATCTGTGCAAAAAGCTGTATAAAAGAGAGTGTAAAACCACTAGATATGGCTTGAGGTAGTAGTAGTTTTTCTAGACTGGAGAAGGTCAAGAAACCTCATTTAGCTAGATGATTGACTTAAATTGGGGTTGAGTTAGGTTCAAGTGTTGTATCTTTACATGGTATCATACTATTTGGGGTCCCGTGTAAGCTCTTGTTGGGCTTGGACATGTAGGGGGTGTTAGAGTGGGTCCCACATTGGTTGGGAATGGGTTGATGGTCATATCTTACCTGGTATTAGAGTTAGGTTCATCCTGTTTGGGTGTTAGAGTTGGTCCCACATCGGTTGGGGAATGGATTGGTGGTTGGTTTGTATGGACTTGGACAATCTTTTCCTTATAAGTTAATCTTTTGGGGTTGAGTTAGGCCTGAGTGTCATAACTTTATAGGCCAAAAATCTCAAATACGTACATCAATTAGGTTGATTTCCCTTTTGATTCGTTTTCTTCTCTTCTGTGTTGTCCTGTGAACTATGTATTACACATCAATAGGCATAGTAAATGTAGTGGCTCATTCGCTAAATACTTCACAACTACATTAACATCTTGCTGTATTTAGTAGTCAAAAAAACCTACATTTTTCATGTCTCACAAGTGTGGAAAACGTATCAAATAGGTGTCTAGTAGGTTGCTTATTTCTTTATATAGGTAGTCATAGTTTTGCATTACTTTGTGGAGTCTAGTTTTCAGCACATTAGGCTGAGTTTGCTTTTGGATATCCTTCTTATGGAGCAGTTTAGTTGCTTACATGGTCGATGGGTATGAAGCTCTGGGCTGTCCTCTAGTGAAGGTATGGCAAGAACACAAAAGATCAATAGTTCAATGCTCTTGCTTTTGGGTTCACTATGTCTGTGTGAAATAGAAGGATGCAGCTAAATTTGAAATGCATAGCATTTAGGATTCTCTTTTACCTAGTAACTTTTGGCTCTTCTTTTACCTAGTATAGTAACACTTTTACCTTAATCTTGCTATCTTTGTTCTTTACAAGTATTCTTACTTGTGTTACACATGTATGTAGACTTCAGGAGGTATTCCAGTTGGTGATTAGCATTTGAACGTCGAACTGCACTTGGAATTTGGCTACATGGGAAAGACAATTCAGGTTTATGGATTCCCTGATCTTCTGTCTGCAGAAGTGGTCAAATCATTCTTAGAGAAACATACAGGATATGGAACTGTATGTGCATTGGAGGTTAAACAGTCCAAAGGAGGATCTAGAGCATTTGCCAAAGTTCAATTTGTCGACAACATTAGTGCTGACAAAATCATCAATTTGGCTAGTAAGAGGCTGTATTTTGGCTCTTCTTATTTGAAGGCTTGGGAAATGAAAACTGATATTGTCCAATTGCGGGCGTATGTGGATCACATGGATGGCATAACTTTGAATTTCGGATGTCAGATATCAGATGACAAGTTTGCAGTGTTGGGAAGTACAGAAGTTTCAATTAAATTTGGCATTGGATTGAAGAAATTTTTTTTCTTTTTATCTAGTGGTTCAGCTGATTATAAACTTCAGCTTTCATATGAAAATATATGGCAGGTTGTGCTCCATCGTCCATATGGTCAAAATGCTCAGTTTCTCCTCATACAGGTTTTTCAATTATTCCAAACCTTTAGCTATTGTTTTCATCCTTCTCCCTGTGCTCGTTCTTTGTGAATATTGTGACTATTTGATTATTGGTTGAATGGTACACAATTTTCATGTATTGGGTCTCTTACCGCTTGTTGATCCACTTCTTTTGAAGCAAAATCATTTCTGCTAACATATATTTATTTGTTGACTTATGAACCATATGGAAGGGGTTGAAATCCTATTTATGAGAATTTTGACAATAACTTCCATTTCTAGAAACTGAACATGCATGAAGGCTTGAACCGACATTAAACTGGAAACTTATTTGCTACTGATCATGAAGTAAAGAAGCTTTAGAAAATACAAAGTACAAGTTCATAAGCATTAATAGCGGTTAGGCCCTCCTCAATATTGTTCTGCTTGAAGTCTTTTAAGGTTGGATGCTTATGCGTTTATAAGCACTGCTATGTGGATAACCTAGATCCTGTCCAAAATCCTAACTAACATGCCAGATTGCCATATTCTCAGCCTATCTTTTGATCTGTCGACATCCTTTTCTTTTTATAAAGATATCTGTTGACATCCTTAAAGATGAGTGTTCGAAATTCTTAACCTCTTTCATGAATATTTGCGCTAGAACTTTTTTTATATAGTAGAATACCATGAAATGGTACTGTCAACATCCAGAATTCTTGAAGAATATGTCTTTCATTTTTTTTGTGCACATGTTTCCATCAAAGTATAAAATGTTGATTTTCTATCTTCTTTTTTTGGGTAAAGTAATTAAATTGTGTTGATTTTCTGTTAATATGCGCTCCTATTATAAATTTAGAAATTACTATTACTAATGTTACTAGTGTCAAAAAAAATAATTTAGAAATTACTATTACTACTATTAATAAGGGAGAGTCAGAGGAGCTTCTTGTCGTCCTGTCTACCGACCAAACGTATAATTTTGGAATTTTCCCTTTGAGTTCGCTATTTTTGTATTGCACTTCACAACAGCCGCAATAGATTCCAAATGGGAGAATTATAATAGGCTGTGCATTCAGAAAAAATCATGTGCTTTTATTTTATCTGTTTAGCTTGGGAGGGTGTTTTCTGTTCTTCTGTATTCGTTGTCCTTTCTCATTGGTGGATACAGATGGGTAACTGTAGCTTCTTATCTAAAATTTTTGATGTGTTGACTGTTTTATCCTCTTTAGTTTGCAGTACTTGTAACTTAATTGCACTGAGGAATTGCCACATAGTTTTAGCTGCATCACGACACAGAATGCTGTAACCTTATATTGATTGATGAATCATAAATGAGAGCAGTCACTGCTCATAACCGTATAAAAGGCATACTAAAACTCTATTAAAAAAAATGTGTTAGTAAAGATGTTAAACTTGGGCCTGTGCTCTACACAGGCTTGGTACCACTGGTTAATTAAATAAACCAAGCTTCTAACTTGCATATTATATAAGTTAACAAATATATGTCCACAATTTTCAATTTTTTCAATACTTGTGACTTGTGTGCTCGTGATCTTTTAAGTTAAAGAACGTGAAAGCAACTTTTCTACTGTGTTTGCAGAATTTCCTCATGAGTATAGTTGCATCAGTTAATATATCGCTTCATATAATTGAATTCTGGTTAGATCAGTAGTCTACTTTGCTGATTTACGATAAGATTCAGTATTGACTTATTCATTCAATTTCTATGATTTAGTTATTTGGTGCTCCTCGGATCTATAAGAGACTTGAAAACTCCTGTTATAGCTTCTTTAAGGAAACTCCTGATGATCAGTGGGTGAGGACGACAGATTTCGCTCCATCTTGGATAGGGCTGTCTTCTAGCTTATGTTTGCAGTTCCGTAGGGGTGTTCATCTTCCAAATTTCCAGGAAAGTTTTTTTCACTATGCAGAACGTGAAAACAATATTACTTTACAGACTGGTTTCACCTTTTTCGTCTCTCAAAAATCGGCTCTGGTTCCCAATGTCCAGCCTCCGGAAGGAATTGCAATTCCCTACAAGATATTGTTCAAAATTAGTTCTTTGGTACAGCATGGATGCATTCCTGGGCCAGCATTAAATGTCAACTTTTTCCGATTAGTTGATCCTCAAAGGAGAAATGTTGCATGCATTGAGCAAGCCTTAGAGAAACTGTACTATTTGAAGGAGTGCTGTTATGATCCAGTGAGGTGGCTGACTGAGCAGTATGATGGGTATCTCAAGGGTAGACAACCTCCAAAATCTCCGTCCATCAATTTAGATGATGGGTTAGTGTATGTAAGAAGGGTCCTAGTAACACCATGCAAAGTTTATTTTTGTGGTCCAGAGGTTAATGTTTCCAATCGGGTTCTCCGCAATTATTCTGAAGACATAGATAACTTTCTTCGTGTTTCTTTTGTTGATGAGGAGTGGGAGAAACTGTATTCTACAGACTTATTACCAAAAGCAAGTACTGGAAATGGTATCAGGACAAACATCTATGTGAGGATCCTATCAACTCTGCAGAAAGGCTTTGTAATTGGTGATAAAAAATTTGAATTTCTTGCATTTTCATCGAGCCAGTTGCGGGATAATTCAGTGTGGATGTTTGCATCAAGACCTGGCCTTACTGCAATTGATATAAGAACTTGGATGGGTGATTTTTCGCAGATCAAGAATGTGGCAAAATATGCTGCCAGACTTGGTCAATCTTTTGGTTCCTCCAAAGAGACTTTGAGTGTTCTTAGGCATGAGATTGAAATTATTCCTGACGTAAAGGTTCATGGAACCAGCTATGTCTTTTCTGATGGAATTGGTAAAATATCTGCTGACTTTGCTCGTAGAGTTGCCTCAAAATGTGGCCTTCAATATACACCATCTGCTTTTCAGATTCGTTATGGTGGATATAAAGGTGTTGTGGCTGTTGATCCATATTCATCAATGAAGTTATCTTTGAGAAAGAGCATGTCGAAATATGAATCAGACAACAATAAGTTAGATGTCCTTGAGTGGAGCAAATATCAGCCTTGTTTTCTTAATCGTCAACTGGTTACTCTCTTGTCTACACTTGGAGTGAAAGATGATGTTCTCGAACAGAAGCAAAAGGAAGCTGTAGATCAGCTTGATGCTATCTTGCATGATTCTTTGAAGGCACAGGAGGCTTTGGAATTGATGTCTCCTGGAGAAAACACTAATATTCTCAAGGCAATGCTAAATTGTGGTTATATGCCTGATGCTGAGCCCTTTCTTTCAATGATGCTGCAAACCTTCCGCGCATCGAAGTTGCTCGATTTGCGGACTAGATCAAGAATATTTATTCCAAATGGAAGAGCAATGATGGGATGTTTGGATGAATCCAGAACCTTGGAATATGGTCAGGTGTTTGTTCAGTTTACTGGTTCTGGACATAGAGAATTTTCTGAGGATTTACATCCATTTAATAACAGCAGATCCACCAACTGTAATTTCATTCTCAAGGGAAATGTGGTTGTTGCAAAAAATCCATGCTTGCATCCTGGTGATATTCGTGTTTTAAGGGCTGTAGATGTTCCAGCGCTGCACCACATGGTAGATTGTGTTGTATTCCCCCAGAAAGGAAAAAGGTAAATTTTACGTTGGAAACCTATTAACTGTTTACTTACGTGTAATCTTATAGAAGGCTTTACCATTTCTTGCCTGGTCTTACTAATGCTCTAATCCAAATTAGTTTCAAGGATAGTCAAATTGATTCTCGGGAAGCAAAAAGCGCCAGAGGGAGTAATTGACTGTCTTAGTTAGTTAGGATTCACTTGTATAATATCCCCTTCTCATGTGATGTAAAGGCATATTGAAATACGAAAAAGTCTTTTCTTCCTTCCCATATTCTACACCAACTTATGGGTGGAAATCATTTTCCTACTGGCTCCACAATTATTTCAACTCGTAACTTTGTATAAATGCTCCAGACTAGGTATGTATTTCAACTGCCTCCCTACCTCTGAGGTAGAGGTAAAGTCTGCGTACACTTTACCCTCCTCAGACCCCACTTTGTGGTATCTTACTGGGTATGTTGTTGTTGTATAATTCAGCAGTACTTCATCTATCTGAAATATTCTCAATTTTTGTTCATGGAAGAATTTTCAAGTGTGAACTTTATTAATTGTTCTTTCTAGTAAAATTGTAAAACTAGGTTCCATCCTTGTTAACTCTTTCTATCTTTATTTCTTTTTCATGGCATTGTTACTTAAGTGTTAAAGCTTTGATGACAGACCTCATCCGAATGAATGTTCTGGGAGTGATTTGGATGGAGATATCTACTTTGTTTGCTGGGATCAAGACATGATTCCGCCAAGGCAAGTCCAAGCGATGGAATATCCTCCAGCACCCAGCATACAGTTGGATCATGATGTCACAATTGAGGTACCCTTAGTTTCGAACAACTAGTTTTACTTCCAAAATTATCATGCTTCTGATGCATCACTATGTTCAACCTTTCTTACGGAGAATTGGCATGGTCTTGATATTATTTTTTTCCTTTTAATCTTTTTTTTTATCAACGCTTCATATTAGTCCCACTTATTCTATTGCTGAGATTACCTTCTCCAAGACTTTGATTCAGTCGAATCTAGTTTAGTGTATGAGTGTTAGGTGCATCAATTACAGACTGGTTACTGTACTTTTCTATTGCTGAGATCTCCTTCTGCACAGCTTCGTGACTGGATAGGCACATAAAACCAGAACTGCTGACCAGACTTCATTCTTTCACCCCCTTCTTTCTCCTTCTCTAAGATCTTTCAATTAATGAGACAAAAAAGGAAGAGATCAACACGAGTATTGCAGTAAGAGCTGAATGCCTTAATTGTTTATTTTCATTATTGTCCAATTTCCTTATTTTGGATGTACAGCTAACAGCATTGCCTTTATGCTGTTTTCTTTGATTTTTACATCAATAAAATTCTCTACCCATAAAAAAATTAATGAAGGAAAATATACCCTTTAGATAAACAACTTGTTAGTGACCAAAGCCATAAATAAAAATTTTCTGTTGTGTCAAACCTGAAATAGTTTCTTCTTTCCACTTTCTTATTTACCTTATCAACTGTACATGTGAGATTCATCTTCTAAGTTTATTATTGTCTTGTTCATGAGGGGGATCAATCCTGAGAGTCCCTAAAGTTTGTGGAAGTGTGCTCATTCTTGGTTTTTTTACTTCAAATCACCGATTTGCATATCAATATGTGCCATAGGAGTTACATCTCTGATGAAAGAGCACTTACACTCTTGAATTTGTAGTAGGGAATGAACTCTTGAAATCATACTTATAAGATGTGTAATGCAATACAAGTACTGAGGAACTCTTTATTATTTTTTGTTTGTTGTGGGAGAGGGGGGATTGGCCAGTATGTGCAACAACAGTGCAAGTACTGAGGAACTCCTTTTCACCTGTCTGCCTACTGCAGGAAGTTGAAGAGTACTTCACCAACTATATTGTGAATGACAGTTTGGGAATCATAGCAAATGCCCATGTCGTATTTGCAGACAGAGAACCTGATATGGCCATGAGTGATCCATGCAAAAAACTTGCTGAGCTCTTTTCAATTGCAGTGGACTTTCCAAAGACTGGTGTTCCTGCTGAAATACCATCTCAGTTGCGCCCTAAAGAATACCCAGACTTCATGGATAAGCCGCCAGACAAGACAACCTATATCTCAGAAAGAGTTATTGGAAAGCTTTACAGGAAAGTGAAGGACAAAGCTCCTCAGGCTAGCTCTACTGCGATATTCACAAGGGATGTTGCAAGGAGATCATATGATGCTGATTTGGAAGTTGATGGATTTGAAGATTACATTGACGAAGCTTTTGACTACAAAACTGAATATGACAACAAGCTGGGTAATTTAATGGACTACTATGGCATAAAAACGGAGGCTGAAATACTTAGTGGTGGCATCATGAAGACATCAAAAACTTTTGATCGCAGAAAAGATGCTGAGGCCATTAGTATTGCTGTGAGGGCCTTGAGGAAGGAAGCAAGGACCTGGTTCAAGAGGCGTAATGATATAGATGACATGTTACCAAAGGCTTCGGCTTGGTACCACGTTACATATCATCCTACATATTGGGGTTGCTACAATCAGGGGTTGAAAAGAGATCATTTCATTAGCTTTCCCTGGTGTGTTTATGACCAGCTAATCCAGATTAAGAAGGAGAAAGCACTTAACAGGCCAGTTCTCAATTTGTCATCTCTCAGGGCTCAGCTGAGTCACAAATTAGTGTTGAAATGAGATTTCAGTCAAGCGTTAAGCTGATATATATATATATATATAAATGTAATAGGGGTGTGATCATAAGAAAACTGCTATGCGTTGTTAACAACCTTTTGTATTCAAAACTGCATGAACCTGTAACATATATGCAGTATCTTAGAAACTGCTGTACAGCTAAGTACTAATATGTATGTGGTTTGAGTTTTATCTCTCTTCTCAACATAGTTCATATTATGCTTTTTAGCACTGAGCAGTAGTTCCTGTGTTGGTAAATTTTGACTGATGAATCACAAAGTTAGTTTAATAATTTTGCTAGCTCAGATGGCAGCAACGACATCAATGGTGAAATTTCAGCAATTTGTTTTAACTTGTCCCCGTCCCTTTGTTATCCCTAGTCATAAATAATATTTCAGCATAGTCCCTCATCTTTGGGTTAAGACTCAAAGTCATCCTTGAGTTTTCACATAAGGCATTAATAGTCCCTCATGTTTGCAATATTGGTGTACTTTTGGTCCTGCCCTAAACTTTTGCCTATTTTTTAACATTAATTTTGTTCATAAAAATGTCCCATCGTCTTTTTTTTATATATATTTAGTAGAAATAATAACTCTATGTGAGAGAAGGTGAGAAGAAGAAGAACACATTGTTCTGTTCGGTATAAATATTACTGCAGCTAAACTAAGAACATTTAAACATATGACATTGCAAGGAAAGAAAAAAATGTACTATTGCACGAAATCGTTGTGATGAACCTCTCGATTTTACCTGCAATACAATTTCTACTAAACAAAACAAGGTGTTTTTCTTCTCACAATCTCTCACATTATTTCTACTAAATATATAAAATGACGATTAAACATTCCATACATAAATTATGAATAAAATCAATGTTAAAAAATAGGCAAAATTTTGAAGGAAGACCAAAAGTGCACTAATTTTGCAAACATGAGGAACTATTAATGCCCTATGTGAAAACTCAAGGATGACTTTGAGTCTTAACCCAAAGATGAGGGACTATTTTGGGCCTTTTCTCTAGGAAAATACTTTTTTGGGTAAGTATTTTTCTCCCTCTACTTTGAAGAAGCATTTCCAATGTATTCGTTGTTTGTGAAATGCTTGCTTCCGTGTTTAGTATGTCATTAACTCTTAAAAAACCAAAATTTTGGTGGTTTTGTTATATACACACACTCACACAAAGTGTAGTAGACTACATCAACTTATTTCAAAATTTGGATCTATCTCCGATGAAAACTCATCTTTGTACATTTTTGAGCAATTAATAATTCAAACAAATGCTTTTGAAACATGTATATTGTTAAATATTTATTTATTTTTAATTAAATATTGGAGTTTGTAGTTCCTTTTATTCATTTCAAATAAATTTGTACAAAACAAGACCAATTCAAAAATTAGATCAGCCCAAAACAACCATGAAATGGAACTACCAGCTTCTATATCAAAACCCTAGAAGATAGGGTTTTCAAATTTGAGTTCCTTTTCTTTCTCCCCTCGTCGCCGCTAGGAGCTATATGGAATCCAACCTTCCTCTTCCTTTTGTCGTAGATCATCAACACCTTCCTCTTGTTTGCCATGTTAACCCTCCTTCTCAGCTCGCAGAGGTATGATTTTTTTAGCTTGCTCTTTCCTTCTCTATCTGTTTTCTAACTTCCTCCTTTTCTCTTGGAGATATATAATCTGGTGGAACAGTGGATCCCAGAAGTGATTTTGACTTTTGATAGAGGCGTATAGTCTTGTGGTTGAGCTCGCAACTCTCTGTAAGTGGCCTTCTTCTTTCTCTACCTTTTTTCCCCATTTCTTCCTCTTTGATTTCCTTTATCTAGCTGAAGTATAAGTGGAGACATCCAAATGCTCCTGACCTCTTTCATTGTGGAGTTCCTTCCCAACCTTGGATCTCTAATTCCCCATCCGATCCCAAGACCATCGCTCTTTGCTAATGAAATTTTATGTAAGTTGTTGTAGTCTAAACTAGGTAGCTTAATGGCCACAACTATGTAAGCCCTATAATGACAAATCATTTTCTGTAAATATCATAATCGTGAGGTCTGTTGTTGAAAATGATTCTGAAGTAATGTATGCTCATGTCTATAGCTCTTGAAATTTGATCTTTCTTGCCTTGATAGTTATTAGTGTAATGTTTGACTTATCTGCGTTCAAAATACTTTTGCACTCCACTGATAGCTGCTAAAAATTATGCAACTGTCTAATCTTGTATTCACTTGCAAAGGAAGTGACAATTGACTTGGCTCCACTCTCCTAAAACCCGATCCGCTTTGGCAATAATCTTCTATACCTTGCCGCTTTGTCTATATTTTCTTCAATTTCTTCATCCTCCTCCCTCTCTCTCCTCCTTTGTTTCTCTTCGGCTATGATATCCTCTAAATTAGGATGTTATTGATCTGATAACCATCTCTTTCCCATATTTGGAACCTGATTCCTCTTCCCCTTCATGTTATTTTCTCCCCCATTACCTTGTTCTTTTCTATAGAATTCAATTCACTCGGGCTAGCAATGTTCTCTCTCTCCTTACTGCTTCCCCCTTCTTATTTTTCGACCTACTCCCCTTTGTCAAGTTGTCTTTGCGCTTAAAACATTTTCTCTATCCATTTTTTTGTATTGGCTTCCCTCCCTTTTTTGTTGCTCTCCTTGCGACTCCCCCCTCTCTTCTTGTTCTTCTTCTTTTTGAATTTCCCTTGATCTTTATTCTTTTGTTGTTCCACTATCTTGGGAGATTGATGTGTCTACTCCCTCTCCTTATTTTCTCCCTTTCTCCCCTTCTCTTTTCCCTTCTCTTTTGACTAATTTTTTGGGTATACTTCACTGCCTCCTTTTGCTTTGTCAATTCACTATCTGCTCTGTTACTTTCCCACTTGACAAAAAAATAGTCGGCGGTAATTTTTTTGTTGCTTTTCAGAATTGGATTCAAGTCATTCTACTAAAATTCTTCTTAGGGAATGGTTTCTTCTTCACTCCAATTTCTACAACAAATGATTCCATAATCCCAAAAGAAATCCTTAGAGATATTCACTTAAGGTTTCCCACTAAGTCTCTCTTGAAATGTACGCTCGTTTCAAAATCATGACATCAACAAATCTCTATCCCTCATTTGGTGAACACACACCTCAAATTAAATACTCATCATAGAGTTCTATTTCCAGGCACCAATGGAAATTTCAAGTTTTGTTCACTCCCTCCTCTGTTTAACAAACAACATGTTACTATTCACATAGATCCTCCAACATTATTAGCTTTCGATGTAGGTTCCGCCAATGACTTGATTTGCCTGTGCAATCACTCAGGGGAGACATATATATGGAACCCACCATTAGGAAGTCAAAGGAACTACTTAATTCCACTTGGGGTACTTCTTTCTATTCCAAATATGGTTTTGGATACGACAACTCAGATGACAGTTATAAAGCTCTATCTATCGATTATTGTGGTAATTCTTACCATGATAATGTATCCAACATGAAGATTGTGGTCAACATTTAGAGTTTGAGGATAGATTCGTGGACAACGAATCATGACCAACTTCAGGGCATCTATCTAGTAAATCTTTAGGGCAAATTTGTCAACGAGAAGATTTATTGGATTGCATCTACTAGTCTTCATAATCACAATGTGTGCATCATCATTTCTTTTGATGTAGCAAATGAAACATGGGGAAGCTTGGAGTTACCCATTTTGTGGAGCAGTCAATTCTAATTTCGAAATTGGAGTTGTCGAAAGTGGCCTTCCTGTGATTTATACTTGTTGTCTAGGTGATACTACTTATATCTAGATTTTGAAAGATTGTCCAAAATCCAGACATCAGAAGTAGCATCACCTAGACGACAAGTATTAATCAAAGAAAGGTCACTTCCCACAACTCTCAATTTGAAATTAGAAATGACTTCTCCACAAATGGGAAGCTCCAAGCTACTCCGTGTCTCGTTTGCTACATCAAAAGAAATGATCTTGCGCACATTGAAATTACAAAAAACTAGTTGATGCAATCCAATGAAGCTTTCCATTGACATGTTTACCCAGAAAATTTATTAGAAAGATGCCCTAAAGCTGGTCATGGAGTGTTTTCCAAGAATTCGTCCTCAAACTATAAATGTTGATCACATTACTCATGTTGGACAGAAAAAAAAAGGTTGGACTCATTAGCATAATAATCAATAAACAGATCTTTGTAATAATCAAGTGAGTCATCGTATCCAAAACCATATATATATATATACTACCTTAAAAGCATGAACTCCTAAACTGAATGTTGAATTACTATAATACCCCCCATTAAAAAAACTCAATTTATATTATTTGTATTATATTAAATGTAGATATCCTTTCATATTAAAGGGTTGTGATTTTCTCAAAGAGATGTGACTTTTCCATAGGGTTGCGACTTTTTTGACGGGTTTTGATATTTTCGATGGGCTGTGACTTTTTCGAAGGGTTGGGATTTTTTCAAATGATTGTGACTTTTTCGAAGGGTTGTGCCTTTTCCGGCGAGTTGTGACTTTTGCAAAAGGTTGTGATTTTTCCGATAAGCAGTCACTTTTTCGAAAGGTTGTAACTTTTCTGATAAGGAACAATTAACACCTATTAATACTACTATTTGTTAGCTATAAATAGAGGGTGTCCTCTCACTTTTAACTATAATTTTTTAAAGTTTTCTACTCTTCTTCTTAAAAAATCTCAGGGTTATTTGTAACTGTTGATTAAGTTCAAAATTCAACAAAATTCAAGGTACCACATAAGAAAGAGTTGATGAATAAATTGTAGCAAATCATTCATAAATTCACACTCGTATTTTTTCTTACGATTTCCATGAGTTAACAGTGACAAAATGTTGTGGGAAAGACAATAATAACAAACAAATATGAATAAAGTCATATGATCTGGGTAAGATATTTCTTCTTTGATTTTCTATTTTTTTATTTTTTACCCTCAAATGAAGCAGTTTCTTTATGATTTTGCTAAAACAACGGGCATCAACGTAGTCCATTGAATCATTAGTTTTGATGTTAAATCCAGTATTTCAAAAATAGATTTTCACTTTTACTTATAATATGATAATATAGACATGATAATAATTATTTTTTAATAGATATGTAAGTAAAAATGAATGAAGAAACTAAAGTGTTGGTGACATGAGATTTAATCAAACGGAACTCTACAGTGAATATAGAATGAACATATATTTTCGTCTTCCTTCTTCATTGGCTATGTATGTTCCATATATTTTTTTTCCTATTATTTTGTGTTCATTTTAATTTGAGAAAATTTTATGTCACAAGATACACTAATTGTTAGCTATATAAAAATAGATAAGAAAATAGTGATTGATCATAAAATAATCTTAAATCAAATTAAAGATTCTATAAACAATACTTTAAATTTATTCATCTATTAATTTTTATTATTGAAAAAGTTCAATATTTTATATCATGATATAACTTCTATAAGATACTAGATAGTTTCATTAGACAACAACTATATGATATATATGCGGCAGGAAAAAGGAGAAGACTACAATTCTACAAAGATAAGGTAGAAACTTAAAGAAATGAATATTTTTCACCAAAGGTGATGCTGTTCATATATTAAAATTAAATTATTCTACTGAAATATATATGTATATCTAAAACAAAGATTTTTTCAAGCTAAATATTTGACATACACTCAAACCTCAATTTAACCATCATTCGTTATAACAATAAAGTACCTTTTTTTCTTGTAGAATTACCTCTCTATGATAGTATTACTCAAATATTAATTGGTAAAAGATAGATTACGTATAAAGATAAAATATTAAAATATTTATGGTAATCCTTATTACTGTCATGCACATATTAAATTTGAAGTATGAATATTTAAGAGAAAAATTATACTTAAATGGTGTCATCATTTATGTTCATAACCTCAAGAGGAAAGACTATTGATGACATTTTTTGTATGATATTTTAAAAAAAATAATTGTTGGTTAGATTTGTTTACGAAATTGGGTGAAGTAAATAATAATACTACTAAAGAAATGTTACTTTCTCCCCATATTTAAACTTTGAATGTATTTTGAAATGTTTCAATAATATCTGGTTACTTTGATCTCAAAATACAAGTAACTCTATAACAATCTGCATTAATCATTTAAAAGCACTTGTTCTATGTTCTTTAAATTATAATTATTTACTAAAAAGATTTAATTTAGTAATATTAATTCTATTTTACACATTTGTCTACTATATATACGATACACACGTGCCGTGAAACTAGTATATATATATATATTCATTCCCTTTGTGATCGCAAAGACAAATTAGCCCACTGGCAGAACCCACAAAGAAAGTTGATTAAGTGAGAGGATCCATGTGAGCAGTGACTTGTTGTTTATTAAACAGGGGAGGGAGGAGAGAACTAAAGTTGAAATTCCCATTGATGCCAGGAAATAGAACTCTATGATGTGTGTTTAATATGAGATGTGTATTCACAAAATCAGGGCTAGATATAAGTCGATGTCATGATTTCGAAACTGACATACATTTCAGGAGAGACTTTGGGAGAAGCCTTAAGAGGATATGTTATGATTTCATTTGTGATTACGGAATCAGTAGTTGTAGAAGTTGGAGTGAAGAAAAAATCATACCATGACAAGAATTTGAGTAGAATGGTATGAATCCAATCTCGAAAAGAAAGAAACAAAAACATGTTTTTGTATACGAGGTAACAATCACAAATATTGGTAGCAGAGCAGTGAAAGGCAGAAGGATGCTTTTCTGTAAAGTGAGGCAGTAGCAGAGTAGAACAGAGAATAATTGTATATATTGATTCATATTCTAGTAATACCAACAGAGACACAATGCTTGTATTTATAAGAAAACTAGTCTCTTGAAACGTGCATTGCACGTTAATTCATAAATTTTAGTATAAAACTATATTGTAATGGAATTTTTTATACAAGGATCCAATCCAAGTATGTTTCTTTAGCTAAAACACTGATTAAGACAACAAATTTTATCTGTAGGAGATCATAACCTTTGGTTTTATGAATTAGTGGAAATAAAAAGGAGAATTTCTTACAAGAACTTCAAGGTATACAAGCAAATATGAATTGTGATGTATGGATTTATACATATTCAACGTCTTGTCCTACATTTGACAAAAAAGATGTGCAACAACATTTTTATTCTTGGATGACAGTAAATAGATGGAGAGGTTGTTTCGTTCCCTATCTCCGAATATGGGGAATATATTCTCAAAAATTCTTGCTCTAATCTAACCTAGCTGACGGAAGATGATAAATAAAGAAGAACTCTTACAAGTTATCGGCCAAATGATTGTGAGGTTTCATGATATCAATAGGGGATCAACAAGGCTTTCTATATAGATTTCTTACCATGATGTTGTATCCAACATAAAGACTGGTCAACATTTACAGTTTGAGGACCTATTCGTGGATGACAGTACATGACCAACTTCAGGGCATCTATCTAGTAAATCTTTATGGTAAATTTGTCAACGAGAAGATTTATTGGATTGCAGCTACTAGTCTTCATAATCACAATGTGCGCAACATCATTTCTTTTGATGTAGAAGATGACACATGGGGAAGCTTGGAGCTTCCCATTTGTGGGGAAGTCAATTCTAATTTCAAAATCAGAGTTGTGGAAAGTGACCTTTCGGTGCTTCATACTTGTCGTCTAGGTGACACTGCTTCTGATGTCTGGATTTTGAAGGACTGTCCAAAAACCGCAATTTTCAAAATCCAAACATCAGAAGTAGTAGTACCTAGATGGCAAGAATAGAGCACAGAAAGCACTTCCTACTACTCCCAGTTTGATACTGGAATTGTCTTCTCCACAAACGGAAAGCTCCAAGCATCCCCATGTCTCGTCTGCTACATCAAAAGAAATGATATTGCACACATCGTAATTACCAATACCCATATAGATGCAATCCAATAAAGCTTCCCATTGACAAATTTAGCCAAATGATTTATTAGAAAGGTGCCATGAAGCTGGTCATGAAGTGTTGTCCAAGAATCAGTCCTCAAGCTGTAAATATTGACGAAATCCTCATGTTGGACACCTCATAATTATAAGAATCACAACAATGATCAATCAACAAAGCTTTATAATCGTCACTTGAGTCATTGTATCCAAAACCATATTTGGTATAGAAAAAGATACCACCGGGCAAATTAAGTAATTTCTTTGACTTGCTATTGGTGGGGTTCCATATATACGTCTCCCTTTCATGATTGCAAAGACAAATCAACCCATTGGCAGAACCCATAAAAAAGGTTGATAAAGTGGGGGATCCATTGTGAAGTAGCTTCTGAGTGAGTTGTTGTTTGCTAAAGAGGTGAGGGAGTGAACAAAAATTGTAATTTCTATTGATGTGTGTTTAATTTGAGATGAGTGTTCAAGAAATGAGGGCTAGATATTAGTTGATGCCATGATTTTGAAATGGACATACATTTCAATGGACTTTGTGGAAAGCCTTAAGAGAATGTCTGTTGTGATTTCAATTGGGATTATGATTTGAGTTATTGTAGAAATCAGAGTGAAATGACTCATATATTTACGTTCCTTCAATGGGACACAACAAAGAAACTAAGATATTGAAGAATACTATATAGAAGCATGAAGAGCCAGGACAACCACAACTTAATCATATTGTATATTCTCAAAAAATCTTGCTCTAATCTGACCTAGCTGACGGAAGAAGCTAAATAAAGAAGAACTCTTACAAGTTATCGGATAAATGATCGTGAGGTTTCATACTCAAAGACAAATTATCCCACTGGCAAAGCCCACAACGAAAGCTGATAAAGTGAGAGGATATATGTGAACAGTGACTTGTTGTGGGAGGAGAGAACTAAAGTTGAAATTCCCATTGATGCCTGGGAATAGAACTCTATGATGTGTGTTTGATATGAGATGTGTATTCACAAAATCAGGGCTAGATATAAGTTGATGCCATGATTTTGAAACGGACATACATTTCAAGAGAGACTTAGGGGGGAAGCCTTAAGAGGATATCTGTTATGATTTCATTTGGGATTATGGAATCAGTAGTTGTAGAAGTTGGAATGAAGAAGAAATCATACCATGAGAGGAATTTGAGTAGAACAATCTCAATCCAATCTATAAAAAGAAACAAACAAAAACATGTTTGTCATATGAGGTAACAATCACAAAAATTGGTAGTAGAGCAGAACAGAGGAGGTAGTTTTAGACCTGTTAATTAAATTTTAAGTATCGCATTATCGCTAGATCGTGAAGAGAATAATTGTACATTGAGTCAAACAGGTCTAAATGAAGAAATTGATGATTCATACACTAGCAATACCAACATAAACACAATGCTTGTATTTATAAAATATCTAGTCTCTCCAAACGTGAGTTTGCAAGTTTTCAACATAATTGTCAAATGATTATGATTGTGAGGTTTCATGATATCAATAGGGGATCAACAAGGCTTTCTACATAGATTTCTGCAGCAGCACATTCCTCAAATTGATCAGCAACCTCTACTTGTCTGGTTGAACCGTTATATGTCATGATAACGGGGGAAGTAAAAGTAAAATCTCATCCATATTCGACTGATAACAAGGTATAGAGAAAATGGATGTAAAGAATATAAACTCCCCAAGGTCTTTAGGATGATCGACAGTGAAAATCTTTGTCCGTGATACTTCAACTCCACAATCCTTCCTAATCCACACATCGGAATTAGTTCCTTCAAGACAATTAAGACAAAGCACAGAAAGATGACTTCCAACCACTCCTAGTGCCAACGGATAACTACCTTTTCCATAACTATTCGGAATCTCCAACCTTCTCCACGTCTCGTCTGCTAAATCAAGAGAAATGATGTTGCACATATTGAACGTATCAACATCAGCTGATAAAGCCCAATAAAGCTTTCCATCGACAAATTTACCCGGAGAATTTACTAGAAAATTTCCCTGAAACTTATTAATTGTTCTCCAAGAATTAGCCTTCAAACTGTATTTGTTGACTACAGTATCACACAATACATTGAATAACTACCACTTTGTAATCATCACGTGTTTCGTCAAATCCAAAACCATATTTGAGATAGTAAGAGCAACCGTTCCTCAATTTAGCTCCAAGTGTAGGTAATTTCTTAGACTTGTTAATAGCGGGGTTCCATAGAACTGTCTCCTCTATCTTACTATACAGACAAATCAATCCATTGACAGAACCGTCAATCCAAGAATAAATAGTGGGGCTTTCCATGGGAGAACCAATGTCAAATAGCTCGGTGCTTCGTTCTTTGTTAAGCATGGAAGGGAGACAACATACCCTAAATTGTGTGCAGATTCTTGAAAAATAATCCTGCGGTGGCTGTATTCTTTGTCATTAGCTGTTTGTTTCAAATGGGTTTTGATAAACTTCGCGCTGGAGATTAGTTCAAGCCCATGATTTTGAAACACACATGAACTTCAACAGAGACTTTGGTGGCAAATTTAAGAGGATCTCTATGATGATTTCATGAGGAAGAACAGAGAGTATCGATTCAGCCATAAGTCATATGGTACAGCTTTTGTGTGTATTTTTTGTTAGTATAATAACATAAATAGTCGAGGTAGGGGGTAAGGTTTGCGTAGACTTATGATGTTGTAAGGTCAAGGAAACAAAAATAGAAACCTATAGAGAAAGCGAAACGGCTGATGGATCTTATCTTTATGATATCCTATTAGACATGGCTGAGATCCCCAAACTACGTGGCAAAGAGATCAATGTTTTTGGAGGGAAATGGTCTGTGATAACAACATCTTTCACTTTTTTCTAACTCTTTTCTGGATTTTATATCATAAATAATTATTATAATGATGTGGAAGTCTTTGTACTTCAGGACAAATGCTAGGTGAAATGTGATATTTTATAGTATGGGGCTTCAAGGTCACTTAACTTTTGAAGGGTAATTGTCTAAATATTTTCAATGTTGTTATTTCTTTTAGAAAAATGTTTTTGGCGGTTGTCTTGATTGAGGAGAAGTCGTCATAGTTTGATTGCAACACATTCTTGAACTATAATTTTTTATTAAAATTGGACGACTGGACGTGACATATATAGAAATCCTTATTTGGATAGAAGTAGATATTTGAAGTATAAATGGATTGGGATTAAGTATCCATTAAATTGTTTTTGGCGTTTGTACATAAACAGAAATCCAAATTTGGATAGAATTAGATATTTGAAGTATAAAGGGATTGGGAAGTACCCCTAAATTCTTTGCCTATTTATATCAACTCCTTTTGTACCGTATTAATTATTCAAACAAGTTTAAAGGATTTGGAAGTATCGCCTGTAATTCTTTGGCTATATATATTGTTCCTTTGATCTCAGCTAATTACTGAAACATGTCGTCGTCATCGAGAAGTGGCACATTATTATGTTTGTTTCTATGTCGTTGTCGTTGAGAAGTGCCACATTGTTATGTCTGTTTCTGTTGTTGGGTTGCATAGGCATTGCTACTGCCACTGCAACCGAACCCAAAACAGAATCGTTTGGTACTTCTTCAATTGGATTGTGGCCCCGATGGTGGTGGCATACTCACCCAAAAATACCATCACCACCTACTCCATCTCCGATTGATAATGCGGCTTCACCAACGCATATGGCTCCATCCCCAGTTGATGATGTGGTTTCGCCACCACACACGACCCCGGCTACATCCACTTCTTGCACCACGGTGGACGGTTGTGCATTAGATTTGATCACTTCTGTTTTCAAGCGTAGAATTTCATTATCCACTCAATGCTGCCAAGGACTTTTAACAATTTCAGATGATTGCTTTTATAGAGAGTACACGCACTCAAAGAGGGTACCATTTTTCCTTGGAAAAGTGAGAAACTTTTGTAGTCATGCTGTTGATAATGCGGCTCCATCTCCATCTCCCGTTGATAATGTGGCTTCACCAACTCATGTGGCTTCACCTACTCATGCGGCCCCATCTCCATCTCTAGTTGATAATGCGGCTTCACCAACTCATGCGGTTCCATCCCCATCCCCCGTTGATGATGTCGTTTCTCCATCACATATAGCTCCCTCTTGGGGCCCAGCCCCGGCTCCAACCACTTCTTGCATCAAGGTGAACGGTTGTGCATTCAATTTGATCACCTCCGTTTTCAAGCGTAAAGTTACATTATCCACACAATTCTGCCAAGTACTTTCTGCAATTTCAGATGATTGCTTTTACAAAGAGTTCACGCACTCCACGAGGGTACCATTTTTCCTACGCAAAGTGAGGAACTATTGCAGTCAGCATCAAGCCTGAAGCAGATTTTTTCCTTCTCTTTTTTTTTTTGGTCATCTTAATAGGTTTTTAGGTGCTAGTTAAATACTTTCGATTAAATTCTTTAATTAGTTTAATTGGATTTTCATCTCTATTAATTTTACAGTTTACCTTTATTTGTCCATGTTTGACTTGGCACACTCCTTTACTATTACTCCTAGACTGTTGATAATGTTAATTATGGAACACAACCTTTTACTTATTCGCAATATGGTATGCATATCAATCAACTATACCTTGGTCCGAATAAAGTTGAGTAGTTATATGAATTTCTGCAACTATTTCTTTCTATTCGCCCCAACATCCCAACAAATTAATTAATAGGAAGACTTACTATGACATTTTTACACTACCTAGATAAAGACTTTTATCAGCTCGACTGTTTTTTTTTTTTTACAAAATATAACTGAAAATCGAATTTCTAAAACTTCTGATTTGATGCATTACTTTCTGAATAGTTTTGTAGGGTTCTGAGCATTAAATTTATTTATTCTGGCAACAATATTTGTATTTGATTTTAGTTACTAGGAGGCTAATTTATGTGATGACGAGTAATGGTAAGGGAAAACAGAGTATTTATGGGTGAAACAGAGCTTCTTAGTGTTGAAGTAAAGAGAAATATGGCAGTTGTAGAGGCAGATTTTGAGTGTTGTGATATTGAGAGCTATAAGTATCCTTAATTCAATCCAAATATTAGCTCTAGCGTCAAGTAAGAAAGCAGCGAGACATGGACTTGGTTCTTGATTTATTTGGCTGACGATTTGGATATTCTTGATGATGAGGCTATGTCCGACCAAGAAAAAAAAAAGGTCTTATTGAAGCTTTTAAAGATACTAGTATATGGACACGTGCTTTGCACGTGTATTTCAAGTTAATTTGTTCAAACTTTTTCATTGAGATGGAGGGAGTTTATTATAGTTAAATGTATTGGTTTTAAAAAATGCAAAGCTTAATCTTACTAAAATAAAGAAATGAAAACACACATCAATTCTCTCTTTACATATAAAGTAGAAACAACTGCTAAAAGTATAACAAGAATATTTGAATGCTAAAATTAAAATATTACATATCGAAACAATAATATATGTGTCTAAACTTTCATTACAATGATACATAAAAATTGTGCATTACGATAAATTTGTGTTGAACTTTGTTTTGTGAAGTTGATGTTATTGGCTAATCGAACTCTAGACGCCAATAGCTCTAAGCACTTCCCATCCTCTCAAATTGTTGCTTTTTCTTCAAGAACAAAAAAGAAGATGACATTAATTAATAAATTAAAACTATATAAGAGCCTATAAAAATGGTGAGTAAGAATATTGTTGCTTTCTCTTCAAGAACAAAAAAGAAGATGAAATTAATTAATAAATTAAAATTATGCAAGAGCCTATAAAAATGATGAGTAAGAATTCAAGAATCCTTTCTTGTTTTTTTATAGCTATATTTCAATTTTCATTCCTTGAACCTTTTCTTTCATTAGTCTACATTTAATTATTCAATGCAACTCTTCCTATTCTCCAAACTATTTAGCAATGAATAGCGCACACTTAAATATGATTAACGGGTAAATCATTAAGGGCTACATTTAAATTGGACTTTTGAATATCCGCAGATTCACAAATCTCATGTAAATTCAAATACAATTATTACTACTATTTCAATTAGATTAGGTATTTTATTTTAATTAAATATAAGAGAAAAATTGTAATCTAACTTTAAACACTCGTTTTATTTCTCTCCATTTTTATTCATGTGGATGCATTCATCTCAGACTAATATTCTACTTTGAACAGAAACAACACAAAACAATATATACAAAGATACATATTTCAAGCCATAACAAATGTCATTTTTTTTTATTATGGATACATTCACCTCAGTTCTCACCCCATAAATTTCCATAACATTTCATTAATTTGACCTATGTTAGTACCATTAGTGAATAATAGATAGGATGTGACCATATTTCCTATTCTTCCAAGGCCAATCTCAACTCCACTTTTCGTTTCACTATCTTCTACGAGTCTATTGACAGTCTCTATTATATTCCAATTAGAAAAAGGAGAAAAAAAAACAGGGTCCCTTTGCTTTATCCCCTTTGAATTGACGGTCTCTCTTCCAATAATAACTTTTTTCTTCATGAACTATGATCATGCTATGCTAAAAGTAGGAAGCTCCTATCTATAAAGTAGGAATCCTTAGAAGGAAGGACATCTTCTTGAAGAAGGAGAAGTTTCACATCTATAAATATAAAACAAGGGTTTCTAATTGACTAGCGCAAGTATACAAAGATTTACAAGTAGAACACAATCAAATAGAGGGAGTTAATTTATGAGAGCGTTCTGACCCTAAGATCCAAGTTCAGCCAACACAAGAAAAAAAGATTGAAGAATCTGTTCCATAGGCTTATACTTTATAGTTCTTAAGTCAACTTTGCTTGTATTGCGTTTTATCGAGTTGTATCTTTAATGATTTCTAAATCCAGTGAGGTGTAAATTGAAGTAGGAACATAGTCTGCAAGTTGGGAAGACCTGGGAACATAAACCTTAAGAGGTTTGTGTTGGAGTTTAGGAATTAGAGTTAGTTCATAGGATTGCAAGAATTATAATTTGAATTCATAACTTGAAGTAGGTTCGACAATCTCGTTGATTGTTGACATTTAGGAACTGGTGTTGATAATTCCTTAGATTACATAGGTTTGTAATGTTTGGTTGAGACTCAGAGTTTAGTGAAGTTGAGTTAAATCCTATAGAGGTGTAGGCCGTGATTTTTTACTCTTTATGAGCCGGAGTTTTCCACGATAAATAATTGTGTCATTAGTTTACTTGTTTTACTTAACACAGTGTTAGTACTCGACAAAGGAACATATAGAATATCTTGTTCCTTAGGCAAACCGGGGGTCAATATTCTAATAGTTAGTTTACCATTTTGCCCGACAACAAATCAAAAGCTAATTAAGTAGTAATATTTTAATTACATAAAGGGTGAATTAGAAGCTCAACCATAGTACTTTAATGTTTTACACTCAATTCACCAAAAATGTGTCCACCGTTATTTTCTCATTAACCAACATTATCTTCTTAGCCATAAAAAATCTGAAGATATTGAGAAGTTGTATCAATTAAATACTCAATACAAGATCATGATCATCTATAACCAAAAACTAACATGAATGCAATAGGAAACCAAGGGGTACAAAATTGGGAAGAAAGGAAGAGAAAAGACTACGAATTCTCTGAACTAGCTTACGGAGGCTAGAACAATGGGCGGGTATATGTTGATGGACATTATGTTGTTCTCATCCTCATATGTTTGAAGTCGGAAAATACTTTTTTGGGTAAGTATGTTTCCCTCTTCTTTAAAGAAGCCATACCAATGTATTCGTCGTTTGTGAAATGCTTTATTCCGTGTTTAGTATGTCATTAACTCTTAAAAAAGCATAAATTTGGTGGTTTTGCTATATACACACACTCATACAAAATTGGTGAAAGGTGTAGTAGACCACATCAACTTATTTCAAAATTCGGATCTCTTCGATGAAAATTCATCCTTTTACATTTTTGATCAATTATTAATTCAAACAAATGCTTTTGAAAGGTGTATATTATTAAAGATTTATTTTATTTTTTAATTAATTATTGGACTTTGTATCTTCTTTTATTCATTTTTCAAATAAATCTGTACAAAACAAGGCCAATCAAAAAATTGGATCAGCCCAAAACAACGAGAATTTTTTTGGCCCAGTCCATTAAATGGAACTACCAGCTTCAATATCAAAACCCTAGAAGATAGCGTTTTCAAATTTGAGCTCTTTTTCTTTCTCTCCGTATCGCCGCCACGAGCTATATGAAATTCAACCTTCCTCTTCCTTTTGTCGTAGATCATCAACACATTGCTCTTGTTTGCCATGTTAGCCCTGTTTCTCAGCTCGCAAAGGTAAGATTTTCTTAGCTTGCTCTTTCCCTTCTCGATTTCTTTTCTAACTTCCACCGTTTCTCCTGTAGAGGTATAATCCAGTGGAACAATGGATCCAAGAAGTGGTTTC